ATGCTCATTTTTGGCCCCTTTTTGGCCCCTAATTCCTTAACTGTTGGTACCATAACCCCCAAAATCAATCCCAACCTTCCTTTTGTGGTATTTAACCTTATGGTCAAATTTCAAAAAGATCCATTCACTTAAACTAAAGTTAGAGTGCGAAAACCAATATGTATTCGGACGACGACGCCGGACGACGACGACGACGACGACGACGACGATGCCAACGTCATACCAATATACGAACACAAAATTTTTTTGCGGTCGTATAAAAATGCTTATTTTTTGGCCCCTTTTTGGCCCCTAATTCCTTAAATGTTGGTACCATAACCCCCAAAATCAATCCCCACCTTCCTTTTGAGGTATTGAACCTTATGGTAAAATTTCATTGAGATCCATTCACTTAAACTAAAGTTAGAGTGCGAAAACTAATGTGTCTTCGGACGACAATGACGACGACGCCAAAAAATTTTTTTGTGGTCGTATAAAAACAGTGCACACAGAAACGCCACAAAAATTGTAACCCTTAAAAATCTGGTTGTGCACTAAAACCCCCATGGGGATTTTCAAAAGTTGGCAGGTCTGGATTAGAGGACCTTGAAAAAGAAGAAAGAAGAATACATAAACTGAGTTTTAATGAGCCTTTTTTAGAGGGACAGAGAGTGGAGAAATGTCCAGGACCTCCATAGCAAAAACCACCACCTTATTTTCAACCAAAACATGCAAAAACTTCTGGACAGATACAAGTACAAAAGGGCATCAAGAACAAGAAGATAAAGAGTGGGCTTCACAACAAAGACAAGCGTTAAGTGTAAGTGATAAACACAGAAGAAAATTTCACAGGAGGGAAATTAAAATTTTATATAATAAAATGCTTCCCTGAGCACAGCCTGATACGACCGCAGAGGTCGAACCCTGAACAGTTGGGGCAAGTTTGGACACAATATTCAAGCTTGATACTGTCTGAATTTGGATTGTGATCCAATTTTTGACATAATATAGGTTTCTGACACAAAATAAATGTGGTCAAAGATTTTAATAAACAGCTGCGCCATGAGCCCATGATACGCCCGTCGTCTTGTGTGTGAATTTTTATGCAATAAGCATAAATAGTTTCTGACATACGCCGCGACATGCGAAAACCCCCTTTTTTTTTTACAAAAAACTCAATATCTCTAAAATAAAATTTTGAATCAAAACCAAAAAGTATACAGATCTTTAGATTAATATAACTAAAGAAAAATGGTTAAAAATTGACTATAAAGGGCAATTACTATTTAAGGGGTCAACTGACCATTTTGGTCAAGTTGACTTATTTGTAGATCTTACTTTGCTGAACATTATTGCTGTTTACAGTTTATCTCTATCTATAATAATATTCAAGATAATAACCAAAAACGGCAAAATTTCCTTAAAATTACCAATTCAGGGGCAGCAACCCAACAACGGGTTGTCCAATTCATCTGAAAATTTCAGGGCAGATAGATCTTGACCTGATAAACAATTTTACCCCTATGTCAGATTTGCTCTAAATGTTTTGGTTTCAGAGATATAAGCCAAAATCTACATTTTACCCCTATGTTCTATTTTTAGCCATGGTGGCCATCTTGGTTGGTTGGCAGGATGGCCGGACACACTTTTTAAACTAGATACCCTAATAATGATTGTGGCCAAGTTTGGTCAAATTTGGCCCAGTAGTTTCAGAGGAGAAGATTTTTGTAAAAGTTTACAGACGACGGACGACAAGTGATGAGAAAAGCTCACTTGGCCCTTTGGGCCAGGTGAGATAAAAAAAAACAAAAATTCAATTTTAGTTGAAATCAAACAAAAGTTTAATTTTGGACCCTTCAAACCTTAAAGGGGCACTAGCTACGAGATACATAAAAAATTTAAAATATGATTTTTTTTGTTCAATCATTAATGAAAGTAAAATAATGAAATATTAATTCGCTTTTAGCAGCAAATATGGTTCAATTTTGTCAAAATAAGCTAAGAAACATCGATGATGAATTATTCACTTGCAAGTGAAAAATTCGGCCTCATTGAATCCGTATACATGTGAACTTCAATTTAACCCCTTAGCTAGAGATGGATAACGCATAAATCGTGCGTGATCAGTTATTTAAAGGAAAAGAATGTCAACATTGAAAGTGAAACAAAGGTAAATAATTTGATTGACTGATTCGATCCACAAAAATTCATTCTTTTACAGGTAAAAACGATGATTAACACATATTTTTAATCTATAATATGAAATTAAATAGACCTAGAAAAATCCAATTGCACAAGTAGCTTAATCTATTTATATCTATATTTATGTGTATATCCCTTATATGGCCATCGTAGGTTTTCCAAGGTTTACTCGATAGTTAATTAGTTGGGGTCTAGACTAAAATACTCACGAAACAAAGCTACATATTTTCGAGTCCATGTCCTGTAAATTGTTTATTTTAGACTTTTAATAGTTTGGATAAATGTTTTACATTGTTATAAATCAAATATGAGAATTTGAGTCCAATTAATGAACATGAATTTGACAGCTAGTGCCCCTTTAATTTGGACTAATTTGAAAACAGGGCCCAAAATAAATAAACAGCTGTGCCATGAGCGCATGATACGCCCGTCGTCTTGTGTGTGAATTTTTATGCAATAATCATAAGTAGTTTCTGACATACGGCACGACATGCGAAAACCCCTCTTTTTTTTACAAAAAACTCAATATCTCTAAAATAAAATTTTGAATCAAAACCAAAAAGTACACAGATATTAAGATTAATATAACTAAGAAGTGTGTAAAATTTTAAGCAATAATCATAAATTGTTTTTGAGATACGGTGCAACATGTGAAAACCACCCTTTAAAAAAAAAAAAAAATCAATATCTCTAAAATAAAATTTTGAATCAAACCCAAAAAGTATACAGATCTTTAGATTAATATAACTAAGAAGTGTGTAAAATTTTAAGCAATAATCATAATTTGTTTTTGAGATACGGCGCGACATGTGAAAAACCCCTCCCCCTTTTTTTACAAAATACTCAATAACTCAAAAATAGAATTTTGAATCATCACCAAAAAGTATACTGATCTTAAGATTAATATAACTAAGATGTGTGTAAAGTTTTAAGCAATAATCGTAAATTGTTTTTGAGATACGGCGCAACATGTGAAAAAAAACACACACCTGTTTTAGATACTAAGTCCCGAAACTCAAAAAGTTCTAATCTTATTTTCACCAAAAAGTATACAGATCGTTTGACCATTATAAGAAACAACTATATTAAGTTTCATGAAATTTGAATACCATAATACGTCCCGTCAAAATTTTGACGGGCGTATAAAAATCTAAATGCACAATAAGATTCAGCATATCATAGTGCCGCAATAATTCAGTTTTTGATGAAATCAAACAAAGTTTAATTTTGGACCCATTGGACCTCAATGTAGACCAATTTAAAAATGGAGCTCTGAATATCCAAAATAGTAATACAAGGTTAGAACCCCCAAAAATTAAAGACTTTAAATTAATCCCATTGAAATTGGTTAAAAGATTTGTATTTATTTTCAATTGAAGATTTCATGCTATTGTGCAATAATGTGTTATTGCGCAATACTGTGCTATTGTGCTACACTGTGCAATTGAAGATGTCTTGCTATTGCGCAATACTGTGCTATGGCGCAATACTGTGCAATTGAAAATTTCTTGCTATTACGCAATACTGTGCATATTGAAGATTTCTTGCTATTGCCCAATACTGTGCTATTGAAGATTTCTTGCTATTGCGCAATACTGTGCAATTGAAGATTTCTTGCTATTGCGCAATACTGTGCAATTGAAGATTTCTTGCTATTGTGCAATACTGTGCAATTAAAGATTTCTTGCTATTGCGCAATACTGTGCTGTTGCATAATACTTAGTTAATCTGTTATATATAATAATTTACACACTCTGTCTGGTGTGTATCTCCTGCAATATCAGTGTTTGTTGCTTTAATATATAAATCAGAAATAATCAATGTAAAAATAGAAAATATTTTGGGAAAAAAAATCCAAAATTATGAAAAAAAAATCCCTATTTTTTGAAAAAATTTGAAATTTTGAAAAATCTTGAAGAAAAAAAGTATGAACCCCCCCAAAAAAATTGGAAAAAAAAGCTTGATACAGGTCTGAATTTGGATTGTAATTAAATATTTGACACATTATAGGTTTCTGACACAGAATAAATGTAGTCAAAGAGCTTGAAATTGGTTATATGATTTGAATTTATATTCAATAGGAGATTTCTTGCTTTTGCGCAATACTTAAAAAATCTGTTTTCAGACTATATACAAAGAATTAGCAAAATAAACTGTAACCCTCAATTTTTCTTTCGAAAAATTGACAATTTTATTAAAACATGTGGTACAATTTCAGAGCAATCAAAATACTTATACAGAAGTTATTGTCCTGAAACAATAAAAATGCATGTTTTGGGCACGTTTTTCGCCCCTAATTCCTAAACGGTTGGGACCATCACCCCCAAACACAATCCCAACCTTCCTTTCGTGGTATTGAACCTTTTGGTTGAATTTCATAGAAATTCGAAAACTAAAACTAAAGTTATTGTCCAGAAACCAAATGTCTTCGGACGACGACGTGATAGCAGTATATGACCTCAAAATTTTTTTGGTGTCGTATAATTACAAAAGCATTTTGAACAAAACTATAAAAATCTTAAAATATGTAACTATACTGAAAGGAAACATATATGATTGCTTACATTCTTACATTCAACTGATTTGATGTGCAGTCACCGGTTGTTGTAAAAGATACCGGGATACTGGAGAATATAAAATAAGAGCATAACATAACTTCTTATTTATAATAACGAGGAAACAGTATGAGTCTGTTTGGTTTTCAGGTGACCTCTTCCGAAAGAAACCCTGATGAAACGGGTGATACAGCGGGTGTGATTGTTGAAACAGCTTAACACAGCCCATAAACTGGAATCCACTTGTATTACGCTACACTCAAATAAACTGCTTCGCTGAGCGCAGCTGGATACGCCCGCAGAGGTCCAACCCTGAACAGTTGGGGCAAAAATGGACACAATATTCAAACTTGATACAGGTCTGAATTTGGATTATAATTAAATATTTGACATATTACAGGTTTCTGAATAAATGTAGTCAAAGAACTTGAAATTGGTTATATGAATTGAATTTATATTCAATTAAAGATTTCTTGCTGTTGTGCAATACACTGTGCTGTTGCGCAATACTTAGTAAATCTGTTGTCAGACTATAAACAAATAAAGTTCAATTAATTCTCAATGTCATATTAGAAAATTATGAAAATCAAAAGGAGCTTACATCAATAAATATAAACAATTCACCAAAGTTTCATGGGAATTGCTGACAGCATTTTTGAGTTATTGTCAGAAAACTGGAAAATCCCCCTTTTTTAATGAATAAAACCCCATAACTCAGAAATGTAAAATGTAAAATTTATAAAATTCTAAAGGGAGCTTACATCAATAGATATAAACAATTCACCAAAGTTTCATAAGAACTGCTGAAAGCATTTTTGAGTATTTGTCCGAAAACTGGAAAATCCCCCTTTTTTTTAATAAAACCCTGCAACTTGGAAACGTAAAATCTAAAATTTATAAAAATCGAAAGGGAGCTCATGTCAATAGATATAAACAATTCACCACAATTTTTTTGCAAGTTGGTGAAAGTATTCTTGAGTTATTGTCCAAAAATTGGAAAATCCCCCTTTTTTTCATGAATAAAACCCCATAACTCTGAAACATAAAATCTAAAATTTATAAAAAACGAAAGGGAGCTCACGTCAATAGATATAAACAATTCACCAAAGTTTTTTGCAAATTGGTTAAAGCATTTTGAGTTAATGTCCGACATGTTGACGACGGACGGACAGACGGACAGACGGACGGACGGACAGACGGACAGACAGACAATGGTATACCATAATACGTCCCGTAAACGGGCGTATAAAAATCTAAATACATGTTTAGATTCAGCATATCAAAGAACCCCATATATTCATTTTTTGTTGAAATCAAACAAAGTTTAAATACTGGACCCTATCTTGGACCAACTTGAAAACTGGGCCCATAATCAAAAATCTAAACACATGTTTAGATTCAGCATATCAAAGAACCCCAAGAATTCAATTCTTATTAAAATCAAACTAAGTTTAATTTTGGACCCTTTGGACCTTAATGTAGACCAATTTAAAAAACAGGACCCAAAATTAAAAATCTAAATTCACGGTTAGATTTGGAATATCAAAGAACCCCAATAATTCAATTTTAGATGAAATCAAACAAAGTTTAATTTTGGACCCTTTTGACCTCAATATGAACCAATTAGATAAAGGGGTCCACAAATAAAAAATCTAAATACATGGTTAGATTCTGCATATCAAAGAACCCCATATATTCAATTTTTGTTGAAATCAAACAAAGTTTAATTTTGGACCCCAATTTGGACCAACTTGAAACTGGGCCAAAAATCTAAAATCTAAATACATGTTTAGATTCAGCATATCAAAGAACCTCATATATTCAATTTTTGCTAAAATCAAACAAAGTTTAATTTTGGACCCTTTGGACCTTAATGTAGACCAATTTGAAAACTGGACCCAAAATTAAAATCTAAATACACTGTTAGATTCGGCATAACAAATAAATAAATGTGATCAAAGATTTTACAAATCTAATGCGCCATACTGTGCAATTAAAGATTACTTCTTGAAATTTTTCAATATTTGAAATTTGAAAAAAAAATAATATTTGAAGAATAATTCTTTTTAATTTCTGAAATCTGAAATGAGAAAAATTGACCCCCCACAATTTCTTTTTACCCCCCCCCCCCCCCATTTTTTCCCCCAAACCATAATTACCCATTTAAATTAACCATAGTGCTAACTTAATCTATTTTATAATAGAATTTAAAATATAGTGTCAAATCTTTCATATGGATTTTTTTGTAAAAAAAAAGATGCAACATTTGCAGATATTTTTACTGGTCTTCCTTTATAAATATGCATTTCTTTAAACATAATTTAAAAGCAGTGTAAGGGAAGTAACCAAAACGTTGTATTTGGATTACCTCCCTTACACTGTTTTAAATTATCTTTATTGTTCATTAACCATTACTTTATATATAATTTAAAAGCAGTGTAAGGGAGATAATTTCAATGATGTATTTGATTTATCTCCCTTACACTGCTTTAAATTATGTTTTGTACTAAAGTATTTGTCCATTAACCAGGACAACCTTGTTTTTCCCCCTTTTTTGCCCCTAATTCCTAAACAGTTTGAGCCATAACCCCCAAAGCAAATCCTAACCATCCCTTTGTGGTATGGAAACTTGTAGTATAATTTCAGAGAGATCCATACACCGTTCCACAGTTATTGTCTGGAAACTAGAAAATGCTTATTTTTGGCCCCTTTTTGGCCCTTAATTCCTTAACTGTTGGTACCATAACCCCCAAAATCAATCCCAACCTTCCTTTTGTGGTATTTAACCTTATGGTTAAATTTCAAAAAGATCCATTCACTTAAACTAAAGTTAGAGTGTGAAAACCAATGTGTCTTCGGACGACGACGCCGGACGACGACGATGACGCCAACGTCATACCAATATACGACCACAAACTTTTTTTGCGGTCGTATAAAAACCGGTACGGCCCAATCTTTTAAGGCAAAATTTTGCCCTGGAGATTTTAACTAGATTGGACGATACTTTGTTACATAGCAACGTACAATATCCGAAAATGTAAAAAAACCGAAAACAGAACAATTTGTTTCCTGTTGCATAAAACATAAAATTAATGCATAAAGTAATTTCCTATTCCAAATTTAAATAATCTATCACATTACAAAAAGAAAATAAATGGGGAATGTGTCCATGGGACACAGATGATGCCCCCGCTTGCATATCTAATAAAGTTATAAAGGGATATAACTGAAGAACTGTAAAAGTGACGCTACCCTAATTTGTACTTGATCTGAGTTTTGTGGTAATAAGTATTGTGTATAAGTTTCATAACATTTGGTTGAGGCAAACTAAAGTTAGAGAACGGAAACGAAAAATTCAGCAATTTTTATGTTTATAAAGGGGCATAACTCAAGAACGGTAAAAGTGACGCCCCCCCAATTTCAAACTTGATCTGTATTATGTGGTAATTAGCATTGTGTATAAGTTTCATAACATTTGGTTGAGGCAAACTAAACTTAGAGAACGGAAACGAAAAATTCAGCAATTTTTATGTTTATAAAAGGCGCATAACTCAAGAACAGTATAAGAGACGCCACCAATTTTCAAACTCAATCTGTGTTTTGTGGTAATAAGCATTGTGTAAAAGTTTCATAACATTTGGTTTAGGCAAACTAAAGTTAGAGAACGGAAACCAGCTTTGGGACGTACGTACGGACATACAGATGGACAAGGGTAAAACTTAATGCCCCCTCCGCTGCGGCAGGGGCATAATAAATATTGAAAAATGTATCAGTTTGAAATAATGTAAAATTCCCCTAAACTTCATGAATGATTTTGGCACACCAACGTGATGGTTAAAGAGACGTCATACAAAAAGGAAACTTTTGAACTGAAGGCTATTACGATATGTCAACTGTGGATTTGACAATAAATTTTAGCCAATGAAAAAATTGTTCCATAAAATTGCTGGTTTGAAAAAAGAATATGCTTTCAATCTTTATTAGATGATTTGCAATAATATTTCTTAGATTGTACATAAAATAAAATTTCATTTTTACAAAGGGAAGTGTGGTATAATACATGTAATTTGATTGGATGACTAATCAGATTCTACAATAGATTGGATCTCACCTGCTGTCTATGAACAGTTAGGCCAGTGTGTTCTAAAGCAGTAATTGAAACCACAACAATTTAAAATGTACAAAGTGTTATTTAACACAGCGTATAGTGTTGGGGAAAAGGGGCAGCCTTTTTATGACGAAATTTAGAAAAAAATGAGGTTAATGTAGTAAGATATGACGAGTGCTTTGGAATGGTAAGCATTTTCTATTTTTTATAAATTGAATGTTCAATAAAAATAGGACCTTCAAAGAATAATGGAGGACCTTTAAGTATTTTTGGTCAAAGTTCCTGGACCTTCCATTCCCAAAAGTAAATTTGAACCCCTGCAGGGATTAACAACAAGTCCAAGAATTTTTATAAAATTACTTAAACCAGTATATTCTTGTTTGCCATAATGGGTCATATAAATGTCCCTCACATAGATGATAGCTTTCTTATAGCAAGCACATATGAAGACTGTCAGAAAAATGTAAAAAATACTGTGGAATTAGTTGATAGATTAATTTTTACAGTACACCCAAAGAAATCTGTGTTTACACCAACAAAAGAGAGAACTTTTTTAGGATTCATAATTAATTCCTAAAATATGACAGTTAGATTAACACAAGAAAGAATTTCAAATTTATAGGATCTGTGTTTTGAGGCAATGCATTTTAAGGAAATTAGTATCAGGAATTTTGCTCAAATTATAGGGAAAATGGTTGCGAGTGAACCAGCTGTACAATATGCTCAATTTTAGTACAAAGATTTAGAAATATATAAAGAGAAAATGTTGAAAAAGTTTTATGGGAATTATCATATGATTATTTGCTTACCAACTCATGTGATCTTCCTACTAGTTACAAACCAATTATGCAAAATGATCCTGATATAATACTGTTCAGTTATTCTAGTAAAACTGGTTGGGGCGGAGTAAAAAAAACTACCAGAAAAAAAAACCAAGTTTTTGGTCAGCAGAGGAAAGAGAAATGCACATTAATTTTTTAGAACTTAAGGCAGCTTTTCTAACTTTACAATCCTTGGCCAGAAATATTTCACAAAAACATATCCATATGAACTTGGCTATTTCTTATATTGAAAAATTTGGAGTAAAAATTACAAATTTACATATTTTAGCAAAAGAAATAGGGTATTGGTGTTTAAAACATAAATTATGGATCAATGTGGTACATTTAGCTGGGAAGCTAAACATAGAAGCTGATAAACTATCTAGAAAATTGAATGATGACATGGAATGGACATTAAAAACATTTATTTGAAAAATTAAAGAGCACTGTAGGGACAATGGATATACATTTATTTGCTAGTAGGCTTAATAATAGGAAACTTCAATACGTTTCTTTTTAAGCCAGACCCACATGCAATAGCAATTGATGCCTTTACTATAAGTGAACTAGTAATAATTTTTATTATATCTTTCCTCCTTTTAGTGTCATTGGACGGTTATCCAGAAAATCATCAAGGACAAGTTAGACAAAGCAGTATTGATTGCACCACTTTGGCCAACACAAATATGTTTTCCGCAACTATTACATCAGATCAGCCAACAATCCTACATCCTGCCGAAAAACAGTCTCTATCTACCACAGGATCTGAATCAAATTCATCCAGTTTCAAACCCCCTACTGGGAGCTTTTGTCTTGTCCGGAAATACTTGGAAAATAAAGGAATTTCAACACTCACTGCTGACATCATATTACACTCATGGAGACAATTCACAGGAAAGCAATATTTATTTAAACTTAGGCCAAAAAAAAATATATGTCTGTTTAAGGTTACATACTTTAAAAAAAATAGGGTAGGTAGGTCGGTATTTCCATTTTATTTTATTTTTTCATTTTATTTTTTGTGACATGATCTCTAGTCATGGTTCAAGTTTATCATGGGCCGATTTTACCCGCTATTTTAATGATTGGATTATTTTTCTTGGTTATTGGTTGGCAAAAAATGGCGGCAAAGTGTTTATTTCATCACACGAGTCAAGAATTTCCTTAAAACAGCTGTCATATTCACGATTGTGAACATTGGGATGTATCAGGCAATTGATTTATATTATTGGCAACACTAACTTCGCTTTTGACACGAGTTCAGTTTATTTTTCACTTTACAACAGAAATAAAATGACTTAGGGTCGGCGCTCAAAAGTAGGGTTGGTCGGGTAACCGTAAACAGACATGTATTTTTTTTTGGCCTTATTTAAAATAAACTGCTTCGATGAGCGCAGCTAGATACGCCCGCAGAGGTCCAACCCTGAACAGTTGGGGCAAAAATGGACACAATATTCAAGCTTGATTCAGGTCTGAATTTGGATTGTAATTAAATATTTGAAATATTATAGGTTTCTGAATAAATGTAGTCAAAGATCTTGAAATTGGTTATATGAATTGAATATTCAATTAAAGATTTCTTGCTGTTGTGCAATACTTAGTAAACCTGTTGTCAGACTATAAACAAATAAAGTTCAATTAATTCTCAATGTCATATTAGAAATTTATGAAAATAAAAAGGGAGCTTACAACAATAGATATAAACAATTCACCAAAGTTTCATGAGAATTGGTGACAGCATTTTTGAGTTATTGTTCGAAAACTGGAAAATCAACCCTTTTTTTAATGAATAAAACCCCATAACTCAGAAATGTAAAATGTAAAATTTATAAAATTCTAATGGGAGCTTACATCAATACATACAAACAATTCACCAAAGTTTCATAAGAATTGCTGAAAGCATTTTAGAGTTTTTGTCTGAAAACTGGAAAACCCTCCTTTTTTTATGAATAAAACCCTGTAACTCGGAAACGTAAAATCTAAAATTTATAAAAATCGAAAGGGAGCTCATGTCAATAGGTATGAACAATTCACCACAATTTCTTGCAAGTTGGTGAAAGCATTCTTGACTTATTGTCCGAAAACTGGAAAATCCCCCTTTTTTTAATGAATAAAACCTCATAACTCGGAAACGTAAAATCTAAATTTTATAAAAAATGAAAGGGAGCTCACATCAATAGATATAAACAATTCACCAAAGTTTTATGCAAATTGGTTAAAGCATTTTTGAGTTAATGTCCGACATGTTGACGACGGACGGACGGACGGACAGAGGTATACCATAATACGTCCCGCAAACGGGCGTATAAAAATGGATGTGTTTTTCAAATCAAAAACAAACTGATCCACTTGATATAAACACTGTGCTGTCTGTTTTATCTTCACTTTATGACAGTGGATTAAGTTACAGTGCAATCAACACTGCGAAATCTGCAATATCTTCAATTTGTTCTGTGACAAACAGGAAAGACATTGGGAAACGTAAATTGGTAACTCGATTTATGGGGTGTATTTTCAATGCTAGACCATCTCCTCCCAAATATACAGAAACATGGGATGTAAATATAGTTTTAGATTATTTAAAAACATTACATGCAAATCAAAAAAATTTTGTTCAATAAAATTTCTAAATTAAACTTGTTGAAGATTGATTAGAATTTTATTGAACAATTGATGACTTAGGGCTTTACACAACCTCCCTAGCTGTCGGGTCAGCTCCCTCTACTACAATTCAGATCATTCATTCTCTAAAGAATGACCTTTGGCAGTTACAAGCTTTGTTCTCTTGTGTAAGCCCTAAGTCATAAAAAAAAGTCCTTTGATCAGTAAAATTCAGAAATATAAAACATAGATATTTTCATAATTTGCCTTTTGATCATAAAATGGTATCTGTCCAACTTACATAAAGTTCCATCAAAATTGGGAAAGTTATTGGTGACTGAAAAACAAAAAACTTTGATGGTATCTAAATGTAAACTAGATATCATTGAGATGGGAGCCATCTCTGTGGGCCCCGCTGTGAATAATGTGTGGTAAAAAATTTGTATCTTTATCATTGGACATGGGGTTGTCAACTAAACCAAATTTTTTTACCTTGACCTTTGACCTAGGAAGTTGTTCATAAATTATGACAGACCCTCTGGTGTTGGGTAATATACATATCAAGTATAAACTTTGAAATCATAACGGTTCTCAAGATATAGAGCGGACACGATCTTTACCATAGGACAAAGGGTTGTCAACTAAAACCAAAGACAGACGGACGGAGGGACGGACAGACGGACGGACAGACGGACGGACAGACTGATCACTATAGGGCGGCCGCCATTCGGCGGGGCCCTAATAAATGTGGATAGTGTCCACATGTGGACACAGATGATGCCCCTGCTTGCATATCATATAGTTATAAAGGGACATAACTGAAGAACGGTAAAAGTGACGCTACCCAAATTTGAACTTGATCTGAGTTTTGTGGTAATAAGCATTGTGTGTAAGTCTCATAACATTTGGTTGAGGTTAACTTAAGAAGAGAACAGAAACTAAAAATTCAGCAATTTTTCTATTTGTAAACACGCATAACTCTAGCACGGTTTTGTATAAGTTTTATAACATTTGGTTGAGACAAACTAAAGTTAGAGAACGGAAACGAAAATTTCAGCAATTTTTATGTTTATAAAGGGACATAACTCAAGAATGGTAAAAGTGTCGCCACCAAATTTCGTACTTAATCTGTATTATGTAGTAAAAAGCATTGTGTATAAGTTTCATAACATTTGGTTGAGGCAAACTAAAGTTAGAAAACGGAAACAAAAAATTTGTACTTGATCTTAGTTTTGTGGTAATGAATATTGTGTATTGGTTTCATAATGTTTGGTTGGGGCAAACTTAAGTTACAGAATGGAAACTAAAAATTTTGCAATCTTTCGATTTATAAAGGGGCATAACTCAATAATGGTTAAAGTGACACTACCCAAATTCAACTTGATCTGTGTTTTATCAGTGGAAGTCAAAATTAAACATTGCATTGTATAAAGCATTTATAGTAGTTGATTCAACTATAATCATGGACAAAGGAAGATAACTCCAATTTTAAAAATAACTTGATATTTAGAAGAAATAAAAATTTTGCAATTTTTCCATTTATAAAGGGGCATAACTCTAGAACGGTTAAAATGACGCCACCAAAATTCAAATTTGATCTGTGTTTTGTGGTAATTAGCATTGTGTATAAGTTTCATATCATTTGGTTGAGGCAAACTAAAGATAGACAACGGAAACCAATTTTGAGACGTACGGACATACGTACAGACGGACAAGGGTAAAACTTAATGCCCCCACTGCTACGGTGGGGGCATAAAAAAAATAAGTCCATTTATTAGTAAAGTATGGAAAAATGAAAATCAATATTTTCAAAATTTTGCTTTCGATACAGTCTTTGGTTCATAAAAAAGCTTCTGTCTAAAGGAGTAGGCCCTGTAAGACCCCTTTTTGGCCACAAAATATAGCATTTTTTACAAATGTGTTCAAATGAAAAAATTTAATGATTTATTGTAAAGTTAAATACTTTTGTTACATAAATATGGGCTGTTTTTGACAATACATGCAATGCAGATGCATCAAGTATTAGCATCATTAACTCATGCAATAATACTGAAATCTTCACAATTTTAGCATTTGTGTTAATTTTAATACTGTTTTTGTCTAAAATGGAAGTGGCCACAATTGTGTTCAGTCTTAATATTTAAATATATGTTGTATCTAGTGATAATACATAACATATATAAAGGTTGAGACTGAACACGAATGCAGCCACTTACATTCTAGACAAAAACCATCTGAAAAGTGACCTTTTATTGCATATTTGATAGACTTTTCATAATAAAGCTTGAATTTGAGCGTCTTTAATGACTTGATCAGTTCAAATCTTTTACATAAACTAATTGAATCGACTGAAGTAGACAAAGTGCTTAAAAATGTCAAAAATCTTTCATCAGATGTACTTAGAATATTCAGCCAAAATTAGCCCTTACCGGACCTTTTTCTTTCAATAAAATTCCATTATGGTTTGACAAAGTTATTGATGTCTATAAAAACTTTAACCGAAGACTGAACCTAAATGTTGCCAAAGACAACACCAATATCCAGGATCGATTTGTCTCAGACAGGGACACAAGTAATTCAGGCTCGTCAAAAATGTTAAGAATAAGAATGACAAATACCCTCTGGGTAAGATTAGCAGAAAAGTACAGAAAAGCAGCAGGTGGGAGATGCCTTACTGTAATGAATAATTAGAAAATCATTTTACCTTGTGGTGGCTGTGATGTTGAAAAACTCTGACTCATTGATACAACACGTTTAATGGAATCCACAGAAATAACTGGTATCATTTCATCTTCCTCTACAATGACTGTATCCAAAGATGAGTTTTCTAAACCTTTAAATAAATTAACAGAATCTTGTAATAGTTATAGTTTTCAGTTGTGTATAATAAACATATTTATTTTACCCCGGGATAGGTTCTGAGAAATTTGTGCATATTATCCATGATGATGATGATGATACATGGCTGCTTTACGTCCAGCGGCAAATTAATATGCATATTCAGGATGACAACATATTGAAATATTGATATTTACCCTGTTTTGTACTAGACCGACACATAATGTGCTAGTTCACAAAGTAACAGTCCTCAGGAAGACATGTCACATTATTCTCACTATTAGCCGACAAGTCTTTTCTCTTACTCCTTAATGCTGCATGTGTATTAGAGAAGCAGCAAATAACACTTTTAAAGACTTTGGTTTGACCCGGCTGGGCTCGCTACCAAAAGATATTATCCATGCAAACAGTTTTTTTAGTATTTTTTCATGTTATTCGGTTCTGCTTGTAAAGAGGTAGTAAAAAGTTTATTTTTGTTAGCAAGGCATTTTCTGAAAATTGAGTCACTTGGAATGTTGGTGAATTTCCGATTTGGAAAGATTATGCAGAACCTCAATATAAAATTTACCTCAAACAATAATGATATCATTGGCAGCCTTATCAGGTAGGACAAAAACAAATTCCTTGTCCAGAGTTCTTTTAGCTTGTTTGATGAGAGAAATACGGCTATTGATAAATATATGGTTAACGTTTGAAGTGAAATGTTTTGTAAAATGTTTAATAAGAATATCTATTTTCATTAATCAATTGAAAAAAAAATAAGGACTTTTTGTCAGCTTTTTCACTTTTTATCCATTTTATACAGTAAGTATGGAGTGAGTCTTGGATGCTTTTATGACACTCATTCATCCAAATGATTGACGAGGGATGATATTTAGGGAACTTAGGCCATAAACGTATTTGGAATTACTGCAATTTCATGACATAGGTATATTGTTACTGATATTAACATCTTTACACACCCCACTATAATTAAAAACATATTTCCAGATAGATTTTTTGTAAACATAACAAATAAGATAATAAGTATTATCAAACTAACCAGGAATTTGTTCTTTTACAGAATATTGGAAATATTTATAAAATCAAAACCTTTATTGACACATTTGATTTGAAAAGAATGTTGATTAATTACATCCACTTCATTTGAATTTTGATAGATAGTTGTCTCATTGGCAATCATACCACATCTCCCTATTTTTATATATCACCTATTGTAATATTATTTCAAAACAACAAACAATTTACTATATGTTTAATGTAAATTTTATCGTGTAAAAAAATATCAGATATAGGAATATATATCAGTAAATTGGGGATAGAAATATATATGTAAATACAATCAAAACCTTGACCAATCAGATTTTTTTCAATGTTTTTCTGACAGAAAAATGAACCTGGAAGTTACGCAATTACAATCTTGTAGACAAGAAAATATTGTTTTTTCTTAATAAAAGTAACTTTAGTGTTGTCTTTATTCATTGTCTTCCTTTATAAAATGAGTTAGATGCCCTTTTAGTTCAAAGCCTATTAATTTATTTTTCAGTGCAGTAAGTTGGGATAATTTTCATAGCACTCTTGTGTTCACAGAATAGAAATATAATTTAAACTGAATGTATACCTTCTTCTGAATAATTTTATATATATATTGTATATTTACTAGTGTAAAACCATTCAAACGGGAAAACCAACGGTCTAATCTTTATAAAAAACGAGAAACGAGAAACACTTATGAACCACATCAACAAACGACAACTACTGAACATCACAATGTCTCTTAAAAATCTATAAAACTTATCTGTAATTATCTTCAAAATGTCTAATAATGAACAGTAAATTTCTAGCTATATTCATAATGTCCTACAGAGCTTATAATCCTCAACACTTAGGAAACAGAAAATTTTCAAATAAATCTGTCACTCCAATTATAATTCTGTGATTGATATGTACCACATGCCTTGTTATCTGATAACAGGTGAAAATTATTTAAAAACACTTAAGTGTAATCAAACTTTATAAACCATTTCTGTTCAAAGGGAAATAACTCAATCACATAATAAGTACCACTTTTGGCTACTGAAAGGGCTAAAACTCAACGAAAAAAGCTAAAATCGTGAAAATTGAACTTGACCTTCATTTAGTCACAGGAAACAACATATTTAAATTTGAGAAAATTTCATCAAAGCGTTTTCATGTTAATGAACGGACACTGTTTGGCAGCCACCAGCCAGCCCGCCAGCCTGCCCGCCCACTCCCCCGCCGGCCGGCCGTACATCTCCAAATCAATAACCGATTTTTCCTTTGAAAATCCGGTTAAAAAGTACGGCCTTCAACACGGAGCATTGGCTCACACCGAACAGCAAGATATAATAGTACACTATTTAGCAAGTCTGTTTTCTTCAATCTCAATACCACTATTAATTTGATTAGTTAATTAAATAACAAAATTTTGTTTATAGTAAGTTTATTGTGGTAAGAAAACAAGGACGGGTTCTAAAAGAAATATTTGTAGAGCAGAGAAAACTGTGCACCTTCCAATCTGCTTGACTTTATCAGATGACAATACGAATACTAATAAACTGCTTTGCTGAGCACAGCTGGATACGACCGCAGAGATCCAACCCTCAACAGTTGGGGTAAAAATGGACACAATATTCAAGCTTGATACAGGTCTAAATTTGGATTGTAATTTAATATTTGACACATTATAGGTTTCTGACCCAGAATAAATGTAGTCAAAGAATTTGAAATTGGTTACATGATTTGAATTTATATTCAATTGAAGATTTCTTGCTGTTGTGCAATACACTGTGCTGTTGCGCAATACTTAGTAAATCTGTTTTCAGACTATATACAAAGAATTAGCAAAATAAATTGTGACCCCCAATTTTTCTTTGGAAAATTGACAATTTCTTTAATCTTGAGAAAAAAACAATTGACCCCCAAAAACAATCCCAACCTTCCTTTTGTGGTATTGAACCTTTTGATAGAATTTCCTAGAGATCCCTACACTTAAACTTAAGTTATTGTCTTTAGACGACGACGACATGATGGCAAAATACGACGAAAGAAAAAAATAATAGAAAAAGTAAGATTCATTTTAGAGATTTATAGATTACCTGTGCACATTACATATATATATGTATATAACAGTAACTTCATTAATGCAGAAACATACATACATGTCTCTGGTTTTTAAAAAAAACCAAAGACACAAACTATTGATGGTATTACAGTACATATGATTTATTTCAATAAACAAAGGATTCATAAACAGAAAACAAGTATGAGTATTACATAACCAGCTGATCATTTTGAACACAAACATTGTAGTAATGTACCTGAAAAAATTCTTTAAAAAAGTTCCATAATCCTTATATAGCAGTGGTCAGGGTTAGTAAGATCAAAGTCTTAGGTCAATTAATTTTTTGCAGAAGATTCAATGAATATACATTGTACATTTATCATCTAATTGAATATATTGGGTAATAGGATATTTTTGGCTGATATTTTGGGTATCCAATTTGCCCGAATCTACTGTATCAACAAGATTAATAGACAGATCGACAGAAAAATCATCTGAACAAAACAAATATCGAACTTGATCTATACCTTGTCATGGTAAAACTAAATAACAAGTATCAAATCAATATCTTTAAGCATGGGGAAATTAATAAATTGTCATGTGTAAGTAAGATAAATGGGGAATGTGTCCATGGGACACAGATGTTGCCCCAACTTGCATATCATATAAAGTTATAAAGGGACATAACTGAAGAACAGTAAAATTTACACTACCCAAATTTGTACTTGATTTGAGTTTTGTGGTAATAAGCATTGTGTATAAGTTTCATAACATTTGGTTGAGGCAAACTAAAGTTAGAGGAAGGAAACGAAAAATTCAGCAATTTTTCCATTTGTAAAGGGGCATAACTCCAGAACGGTTAAAAGTCACACCACCAAAATTCAAACTTGATCTGTGTTTTGTGGTAATAAGCATTGTGTATAAGTTTCATAACATTTGGTTGAGGCAAACTAAAGTTAGAGAATGGAAACCAACATTGGGACGTACGGATGTACATACATACGGACAGACAAGGGTAAAACTTAATGCCCCCTCCGCTACGGCGGGGGCATAAAAAGTTCATGATACTGTACAAAGACACAACTGTCTTTCAACTTCATGTGGGGAATAATCTAAAAGGCACTATTTTGACAAATGCCTCTTAAAAATGTATTGTCTAGTTCAAATAGGCAAATAAAGTTTTTATATGTATTTTAAATCATGCAGGTACAGCAAAATCATAGGAGCTATATCTTTTCATTTGGAATGTAGTAGAGTAGATGGTTACATCAGGTTTCTGACTGATGACACAGGAACTATTATCAATCTTTCCCAAAATTGATAAAGATCAAAAGTCAAGTTTATAGTATTCATTATATGAACTTGGAGAAGATTTTGCGTATAAACATTATTTTATTGCCAAATTCTTATAATTTTGAATAACTGCAATTTATACATTAAATAATCAACTCATTACCCCCTTTCCAATTATCTTATGGAATTGTATCATAGTAATGCTTCTTAATAGGAATTTTGTTACCTTCTTCTGACAACTGCATATCTATAGCAGAGGCTTGACTACTGTCTTTAACTGATCCTTGTGACTCCTCTTCAGTCTGGCTATCTCTGAAAATAAGATCGCATAAAGGGATAAAAATTCCTAAATAAATGGTTGTTGACCTCTAGATGTTGTTTGGGTAAGTATTTGCTTACTGTCTCACTGAGGGATACCACAAACCTCTCCTTTTAATAATGTAAATCAGGTGAACAGAATTAAATATGAAACACCATCATGGGAACATAATCCAAGTTGCAATTTTTATGGATTTGTAGTTGAAGAAACAGATTTAAAAGACCGTAATGTCTGATGACAATTTATGTCAAATGGTGACACACAAAAATTTTCCCAAATTCCAGTTTATCATTTCCTGCTGCATCGAAAACATATTGACCTAAATATCAAAATGGGTCTTTTTCACCCCAAGGTAAATTATAAATAGTGGGCAATCCACCGTTTAGCTAGAATGATTTTTACAATGGTCGAAAGTAGAGCTAAAATAATCCATATGTGCTTCTTATTTATATGAGACAAATTCATCAATCATCCTATAGTCTATAAGTCACTCAATCTGCATAAAGGATAAAAAACGAAATAGTATCTGCTTACAGAACATAGAAATCTTGTGTTCAAACGTGGGACATTTTTTGGATACGGTAGTTGTTATAATGAAGTCACGTTTCGACGGCAAAATTTGATACTGAATTATTCATCTTATTTGGTAATGAATCAATGTAAAAAAGTTATTTTTAGGCCACACCAATTTTATTCCTTGATCGATGGACCTATTCCCACTTCCCTCATCCGGAAAAGTAATCTGGGTCTATTTCCCGCGCCGATTTTTTTGTAAACATTAAACAGATAAAAAGCAATCGCCAGAGCATTATAGGTTGCAATTCTGTAAATACTGACAATGCAATTTCCCATAGGAACTCCCTTTGCGGCTAAAATTGTGACACTTTTACTATGAAGTTTCGTGAAAAATAATATCCCAGAACGGAAAGTTTATATGCACTACTATTTTATTCAAAGGTCAAAATATAGGGCTGTGCGGCATATTTTCAACATTTATATGCCCTGAACTTCTAAGAGTTTAAACTTATACTAAAATTCTATACTACCCTTACCTCCATTTTTGGACCTCCTAAGAATTAAAATTTAGCCGCTACCATGTTTCTCAATACTGGTTACATTCCCAAGTGATGTCTCTATGAGATGAAACACAGAGATCATCAATGGGAACCAGTACGTTAACAAATTAACATACCTATGAATATTAAATATCTCCCCAAAAGAGGCGTGGTTTGAGAAACAGCTGTATTTACAAAGTGCAACCTATACAAACATTTATTCAAATAGAAAACTCTCTAAAAACACTTTTTCTCACAACAATACTTATTTATCAGAATTATAGCCTTAAAGAAATCGCTGCATATACTCTAAGTTTCCTTTTACAGTAAATTTTATATCCCTACCCCTGTTTCAATTTTTTAAAGATTTGAAAACAAGACTCTCATTATTTCCAGCTTACCCTATGTGCATGTTATCTGACATGAACTGTCCAAAACCTGTTTGAAACTATTCTGATAACAAATTGAAAGCATTTTAGAATACTATAAATGTATTGTTTAGTAGTTAAGCATTCCAACATTCAAGATTATACAAAGTATCCAATCCTGCCTGTGTCTCCAGTCCACATCTTACTGTATGCCTATTTGTCAAAGAAAGTTCACAATTTCTGCCTCAAATGGTCAGTTTAGAATTCTTGTCACAACAGTATCATCCCTAACCATATATCTAACATAAGTTAGTTAATATATGAACTAGAAGTGTTTAAACAAAGCCATATTTGCAAAAGTTGTATTTATGAAGATATCAGTCTGGTGCATAAATTCACTAAAAGTTTGATTGAAATGACTGCTTACATCTGATTTTTGCATAACTTCCTAGCACAGTTATTGTTTACTTTACCAAAGACCTTTAAAATAAACAAATCATAGCAAATTTCAAGTTAAATTATCTGTTTTATGACTCAGGGGTAGGCATTTTTCTCTGTTTTTTGCCCCTGGGGCCTCACATTTCCTAATTTTTTTCCCTGTTTCTAGCAATGTGGAATATTTACTACATATTTAGGATAGAACACACTATTGTAAGTTTTATTGAGGTCTTTTTGTAATTCTAGCTTGTACTTTTTTATGCCGCGGTCACAAAAAGCACATTTAGGCATTACGGCTTAATTTTGGGTTATCGACAGGACAAAAACACCCCACCAAAAATATTTAGGAAGGATCAATGAGTTGCAATTACTGCGAAGAGTAAATATAAGCACTTCTAAACAATATAAATTACAAATAGGCATATATTATGAATTTATTTTGAATTCAGGGCTTTAAGTAAACCATATATACTGTAAACTGTGAATTTATGCTGAGTCATCATAGTTAAGGCCCAGGATTTTCTCAATCTTCATGAAATATTTATAAAACTTCATATTTGAGTTAAATTCTTTAAAATCTCTGAGATAAACCAGATTTTGTGAAATTCTGTATGTTCTATTTTTTGACCCTATATAGGTTGCAATTCTGTAAATACTGACAATGCAATTTCCCATAGGAACTCCCTTTGCGGCTAAAATTGTGACACTTTTACTATGAAGTTTCGTGAAAAATAATATCCCAGAACGGAAAGTTTATATGCACTACTATTTTATTCAAAGGTCAAAATATAGGGCTGTGCGGCATATTTTCAACATTTATATGCCCTGAACTTCTAAGAGTTTAAACTTATACTAAAATTCTATACTACCCTTACCTCCATTTTTGGACCTCCTAAGAATTAAAATTTAGCCGCTACCATGTTTCTCAATACTGGTTACATTCCCAAGTGATGTCTCTATGAGATGAAACACAGAGATCATCAATGGGAACCAGTACGTTAACAAATTAACATACCTATGAATATTAAATATCTCCCCAAAAGAGGCGTGGTTTGAGAAACAGCTGTATTTACAAAGTGCAACCTTTAGTCAACGTCAAATCGCAACCCTTTCAACTGTTTCAAGCATTATTGCGAACCAAATGAAACTTTTCCACAGATTCATCTCCTATTGTTCAATCTATTTAAACTTTTGTAAGTTCTTTTGTCCCATTCAATAAATACAATAGCTATTGTTTTCTGTGAAGTTTATTCACTGGCCCCTTTAAATTTCTTCTACGAGAAATCTATCACTCATTGATTAATTTACCGTAGTAAAAAAATAATCTTCTAAATAGATGAAAATACACGTTTTAACTAAAAAAAATGCATATGATGTTGTATTTATTCAATATCAATAATATATTTTCAATCTGTTCAATACAAATACTGATTTAATCATCAAAAGTTGATATCTGACAAAATTTTCAACATTGTTCCTATTAAAATTTGTTATTTTGTGTGTTTGACAAAGTAAAACTGGAAAATGACGATGTTTAAATCAAGGCCTTCTTAAATGTATTCTGAAAGTAAACAAAAACAATAACAAATGCAAATTTCAATAGGAACAATGCTAAAAGTTTTGTCAGCAGTGAATCAACTTTTTATGATTAAATCAGTGTTTATATTGAACAGATTGAAAATATATTATTGATATTGAATAAAACAACATCACATGCATTTTTTTGAGTTGAAATATTTATTTTCGTTTACTTAGAAGATTATTTTTTTAATCAGGTAAATTAATCAATGAGTGATAGATTTCTCTTAAAGTCATATGAAACTTCAAATTTAAAAATAAAAGTTGAACATATTTTATATACTTGAATGGCTAGGTTTTGCTCTAAAAGAAGTGAAAGTGAACTTGTTTTTTCAAAGAAAATCATTTAGACTATCAAAATCTTCATAAATATACCGATATTGAATTATTGACTTCCCAGACACTAATTCGCCCATATTTTTCCGTATGCAGTGACCTTAACTACGAGACCTTTCATTATAACTTCAGCCACCGCACAGCGCAAGTGCGAGGGGAAAACCGTGATGAAAGAATATAAACATACATGCTCTTGAAGGTAAATAGAAATAACAGATTCTTAAACAACAAATCATTTAACAACTGTTCAGAAATAGTTCAATTAACAAATGGGAACACATGGAAAATATAAAAACAAATGTCATGGCTCTTTCAATTCACTTATCTGTCATGCTTTCCACGTGCTATATATGAGTTTAATGTTTATCAATGTCATGATCCAGTAAACTTCGGCAACAAACTCGAAAGTTAATAAGCTTGCGATCAACAACCACTGAATGCAATATTTTTTGTCAATAATATGTTATAGATGTGAAATAAATATAAACAAGAGGCTGTTGAGTGACAGCAAGCCGGATTTTCCTGCAGAGGTAGAATCCTGAACAGTAGAGCAAGTATAGACAAAGCATTTAAGCTTGAAACAGCTCTGAATTTGTATTGTGATTGAATATTTTAAATAGATTATTATCTAATTAATAATGAAAATGATATTTGCAAATCTGAACCCCAAACAGGATCAGGTAAAAATTAAACATTAACACACACGACAATAAAATACCACATAACATTGTCAAATGTGACATCTACCTTCTTAACACACATGACTTAAAAAAAATAGTTATAAAGAAATTTGTATTTTATCATAACTGGCTTATGGAGTAAGTTTGAATTATTTCCCTTTCAACAGAAATATGGTTTAACATAGTACTCTTACATTAAATATGATTCATGATTAATAATTCTCTAAAATAAGATATGATGTAACACAATGTATATCTATTTTCAAATTATAATCAAATATAATTAATAGTTTCAAATATTTTTCTTTCATTTATCACAAACTAATACAGATATGCAACTTATCAATGTCAACAACTTTAAATGTAATGAAATATATCCTATAGATAATAAAAATAGATTATTATCTTATTAAAGGAGTTCACTTCATAAAAAAACCAGTGATGACTAAGTTCTCTAAAATTAGATATAATTTAACACTCAAACATTGTTAGAATTAGCATATCAAAGAACCCAAGAATTCAATTTTTGATGAAATTA